TGCAAAAGGATCCTTTTTATGAATGGTTGCCATGTGCAACCAAGCCAAACAGGCAGGATATCAAAAGCAATTGAGTTTACTTGAGTTTACGACTGCTATGGCCTGAATGTTCAAGCAATGAGTGACGTGGCCAAATGCGTTTCATTTACTTCATTATGATCGCGGCTCCAGCATTGCCTTCATTGACAAGCAAGAAATCCAAAAATTTCAAGGAGCAGAAAGCATATCACAGCGCAGAACCATTACTGCAATCGAGTGATTGGAAGGTTTCCACAAACTCATGGGAGACAACCTTAGCCACCTGCCAGTTTGCGACCTTGAATTGTGAGGGATAGGCTACTCCTCGTCCTCACTTGTTTCAAAAACGAATCCAGCAAATCCAACCTATCAGCTGACAAATCAGCTGACAAAATGTCAGAGGACTTTGACACTGCAAGCAGACAAGCAGGGGTTGGCAAAGAATTGGGACTGGTCCGCCCTGATCATGTCAAAGAGAGATAACTACTATAGGAATACTGTAATTGAAATGATAGGACTAAGAAATGTTGACTAAAATTGTTGTAGTATACTATACTATATACGAGTAGTTTGGTTTCTAGCCAAATAATCTTACAAGTTTGTTCATGGACATGTACGCCTTGACAACTGTTTCTTGAGCCTCATAGTATTCCCCATCAGGAAATCTTTCATCCGAATGGTAAGGGTTGTCATTCGTTTTGGACTTGCAACGCCTTCTTCTTCTTGACTTGCTTTGCATTGAACGTATCCACACTTGGAATTGTTGGATAACTTAGAATTGTTGGATAACATAGATTGGCAACAATTCCCCTATTGGAAGCTACCTTATTTGCCAAATAGGCTACCGTTGTATCTTTCTGTTTCATCAAGACGGCTTCTTCTTCCTTCAATTGCTCCTCCCTCCTTTGTCTGTTCCTTTTCTTTATTCTTATCCTCCTTTTCCTTCTTCTCCGCGGCACTTTTTCTTTGCATTTCATCCTGTTCTTCCATTAATTTCACCTTCTTCTTCTTGCTTAGCACTACAACTCCTGGCAAAAGGAAGGAGTTCCGTTTTCTCTCTCTTGTTGTGTTGCCAGATTGGTATCGTGGAGACTTTGTTTTGGAGCCATCTATTGATTAATTGTATTGTTCTTTTGGGAGTTTACCTATGGAAAGAAAAGGGTAGTGCTAGATACCAGAAGAACAAGGAGGTTAGCTAGATTTCAAAAGTGCTGTTTTTTCATTTGTTCAAACCAACGTTGCTTTTTCGTTTGTTCAAACCAACATTGTCACAAGTGTCATTGTCCTTGCTATGGGAGGCTAGAATGTCTAGAGCAAGAATTGACACGGCATTTGTCATGATAAACTAGTGAAAAGAGCAGAAGATCAAGTGCAATGAAGTCTTTTATTTTATTTTGATGTGAATTGTGAGTTGAGGTTGTCGAAACCTAATTGAGATTTGGCCAATCAGAATCATTTGATTTCAAAATGCACCATGCATGGACAATCGAGCCAAAATGGATGCAGCTCAAGAGGGGTACCCGGAAGTAACTGTCCAGCGTGGAAAAATTCACGCTGCACGCATCATTTTTGGTTCGAAAAGTATATAAATATATACTGTCTGTATGTCTATACGATTGTAGTGGTCTATGCTCCAACCGACAGATGCGTGAGATGGAGGATGGCACGAATGTCACAAAGTTGTTTGATTTGTGATTTCCCATCAGATTTCATCATCTCACTACACTAAACGAAACATGAACAGAAGTGGTAGCAGTATCGTGAAGAAGCACCTGAACAGTAGAACAGTCGATAATACGACTGCTATTCTGGGAGATGGTGCCACCAATGCTGAAGACGAGCTTGGACATGACTTCAAGCAAAGACTTCAAAAAACTTTGTCACATGAAAAAACGGACAAGACCAGGAGAGACTACCGCAATTGAATTCTAAGAATGACAAAGTATTTTCAACAGAAGTGCTTCAGATACTTTGAAGTTGGTGTTCGCAAAAACACATCTGCAGAAATGAATGATCCTGCAATGTACTTTTATGATAAGTACAAGTATGATCTTATTTATGCAGGTCTAAACGTAGATTATGTTCTCAAGTTTCTCATGGATCAAGAGAGAACTGCAGCAGGCAATCTGCGCACCAAGGCAGATATGCAAAAGTTTCGAGATGCTATCAAGTGGGGTGCCCAAATCCGTGGCAAAGCACTGTCCCAAGAGTGCTGGGACAAATTTGATCTTTATCTTTTCTCCTACAAGCGACAGGTTGCAGCTGGGAAGGGGAATGGGGATGTCCAAACAAAGGAGGCAGACCCAATCACAAAAGAGCTTTACATGTTAATTTGCAAGTGGGCGTCTGAAGATGGCAATACAATGGTAGACTTTTGGACAAAGACCCAGTGGAACTGCATGAGCCGTTGTGGCAACATTGACTACCTTGGATTCAGCAACTTCAGAATTGTTTTGGATGCACATGCTGTTACACATGACACTACAAAAAAGGATAAAGATGGCGATAGATGTTTTGCTAAACACATTTATGCAAATCATGAGTATCACTATTTGTGCCAGTGGACAGCCATGGGTAAGTACTGTGCCTTGTACAAAAACGAGCTTGGACAAACTCAGAAACTTTTTATGTGGAATATCAAGGACGGCAGTGCTGCAAAGAAATATAAAACTGAGGAAAGGAGAAACATTGTTAGTTCTCACTGTTGAAAAGGGCACTTCAATGCTTACGGTTTGCGGAAAGGAGCCGCAAGCTATGCAAGCTCAGGAACCACATGTGCCCCGTCCCTTTCTTCTATTACACACCGTGGTGATTGGTCAATGGGCTCCGTCTTTGACATATACTGGAGATTTTTGCCAGTTGGCAATCATTACTTGGGCCAGATACTATCAGGAAAGGACCCAATGAAACCATCATTCAAGACCTTACCTCCACATTGGAAAATGGCAAATCCGATGGGCCACCCACTGATCCGCGAAGTCATGAGCGCCAACTTTGGTCCCATCTTAAAAACACATAGTGAAGCGGACTATGATCGTACAGGTTTGTTGTTGCGTTGCCTATGGCATGCCAAGTCGTTCCAGGAGTACATTGCCCATAACCCAAGCAACGAACTTGTCAAGGTTCCATTCTACAACATGAGAGGATCAGAAATTGACGCATTGCAACAGCTTATCACTGTTGAACCAACTCCCGATGTCATGACCACTGTTACTGGCGTCCCGCCACACATTGAAACAACTTGCCAAATGAAGGCAATTCATGACAACTTAATACAGTTACTTGCACAAACAAGAATCAGTGAGGACAACCAGAAGCAGCGCGACGAGCAATTGAAGGCAGACCTTGTTGCGGCTGTTCACCATGGAATAGAGCAGAATGCAATTTCGAACGGCAACATTACTGCAAAAGGTATCAATGACATCATTCAAAAGCACCAAGACGCAACAAATAAACAACTTACCGAACATTTGCAAGCAATGCTTAGGAGCCTGCCTCCTCAGTTCCAAGGTGGTCAGCCAGCTCAGATTCCGCCACCTGGAAATCAAGTTCAGCAAGGGGGTGGATTGTTGCTTCAAAAGCCTGATCAAGGAAAATACTTTTACACCGAAAGGTTCTGGTCCGTTCCGGAAGGCTTTGAGTTCCCTCCAAAGCCAAACCTTCCCCAAGCGCTTCGATGCTGGCTCAAGGGTATAAGGTATGGAACCATTTCGCCAGCTACGACCAAAGCACCTCCCGACCACAGCACTCCAGTCATAGATGCGAGTTGAATGGCAGAAATTTTTCAGGTATCTCGAGAACAATGGGTTAGAAATGCCTAGTAACACGAGCGAAGAAGTGACTGAAGCACAATTGAAACGTACTACCGATGAGATGTGGGACCTTTTGGAAAAAAAGGTTTCGTGCAAAAAGCCACTGTCTTTCTACTTTCGCAAGGAAGGTATCGCCGTCAGAAATTGTTAAGAATGGAAATCCGTCAGATAAAACTTACTTGGAATCGAGGCAGAAGGCAAAACCTGCCGCACGACAGTATAAAAATCGAGTCCGACCGCTGGCTAAAAATCCAAAGTACCTCAGAAGAGGAAAGCAAAAGACAACAGCAAATGCAACGAATCCAGCAAGATTGCAACAGGCAACAATTCATGCAGGAGCGGGTATCTTGCTTGAGCCGATAGACCACTCACCTCGTGTCTTGAATTCGACTCGATATTCAATTGAAGCAAATGCAGAACAGGATCGAATGATGGAAGAGTATGGTGTTGGTCGTGGTCCAACTGGGCCTCCAGCTGTTGCCATCGGACATCACGACCAAACATCACCCACATATCTTCAAGAACTCATTGACAGATTTGGAATCAGGCATCCATATCCGCCAATATCAGTTCCAGGACCACTAGGACCATGTGCTTGTGCCGGTTGCTCCAAAGAGTTGGAACTTGGGCGACACCGATGTGCCCGATGCAACATCGTCATTCACAATAACTGTGCGATGGATCGAAATTGGTACATGCAAAAGAATGGTGAGGAAATGTGTTTTTGTAGTGATCAGTGCAAAAAGAATCTTCCCGGTGGAAGATACTTGTAGGAAATACCTTGAATAAAAGTAAATGCATGTTTCATCGTCGTCGATTGATGGTTCATGATTTTCTGTCTTTTTTGATGAACAACAAATTCGTTGTGATCAAATTGGTACAAAATCAACGTGCGAAATACGTAGAAACACCTCGTGAATTTAGTATATGAAGAAACCCGGAAATAGATAGACTTTTCGGAAAGCGTACCACTCGAGCGATTGTTCCTCGTACAAAATTCCGCGTGTGCCTACACAGAAAGCGGAACTCAGCGATCCGGAATATATGTTTTTTATTCATTCAGTTTTCGAAGGCTCATATTAGTCATATTTATATACTATCATGAAAGTTTTTAGTCACATCTCTTCTGGGTATCTCTGCTGGGTCCAATGGGTCATGGTAAAAGGCGAGATGTCAAACATTCATCGGTTTGATCTTCTCAGCAGAAACGACAGACATCGAATCAAATTACCGATAACCCCATGGACCAGCCAGCGCAGAACAATGTTGATTGTTGATTCAGGTGATGAAGAAGTGGTGTCGAATCTGGAAGATATGCCATCCAGTATGTTCTTCACAAAAGAGCGCCAACATAATACTCCTTGCGGTCCTTTGTCCTCATTATGGCGCCAGATTACAATGAACTGGTTGCTCTGTAGTGCCCAGGATGCGGAGACCTCGTCCAGATACGTCCAGTGGCTGATTGATATGTGTGACAATAACACAAGAGGATTCATTCCAGCCATATCAAACGCCACCAAGAGTGGGCAAATGTGAATGTGCTGGAAGCAAAGGTGAATCGGTGGCACTTGAAGGATCGGGAGCGCACCGTTGCAAGTCTATTGGTATCCCCGTCCATGGAAGGTGTTCCTTTCAGAGAGGGTGGTTTGACGAAAGCGATGCCGATGTCACCAGTCCAACCCGTACAGGTTTTGCAGGAGCCATGTTTGAGAAAATTCCACACGAAGTCCGAGATGTTGCCATCTAAAACTTACATTTACATCAGCACCTTTGCTCTTCTTTCATTTCCTTTCATTTCTCTCGTTTGTTTTGTATCCATCGACGGTGATGTTTTTGTGGGAACAACATTTTTACATAGGAATCATATGGTGTTGCGGCCCACCATGCGTGCAGGCCTTTTGCCGAAAAGTGTATGTGATATCGATACGCACGTTTCGTGCGGAAATGCGCGAAAATGATATACTTTTCAGTAATAAGTCTGGCCCAGCCATTCTGAAGAATGGGCCAGTCGGTAGAATGGCGGTCACAGAGCAATAGTGTCTGTTTTCAAATCAGTTAGCATACGCACTATTATAATTGATATATTTATGTATTTACGAGATATCAAATCATGTAGACACACCACAAATACCAAACCGTTTGTCAATCTACTGCGACAGGGAACGTTTATAGGCAATTGCACGCATTTCACCTCGAACCGGACTGTCAGCCTCTTTCTGCTCATAAACAGGTGGTGCAAGATCTCTTGAATACTTGGTGGCTCCCGCCATCGTTGTGCGTCGAGAAGCATCGTTTATTGCAATCCTATACCTGGTTGGCGGGGTAATTGCATTTCGTAAAATGGAGAATTTTGCCATTGGTGCAGGGGATGTCAGGATTTGTAGCTTCTCGTTAAAGTTCACCACTGGACGTGAATCATCAAAAGCACCGGGTGCGTGCTGGCCCGATGTCTTGGGCGGATCCGAAGAGTTGCCTACCCAGTAAGTTACCATATTGCCCTTTCCCTTTACTGCAACCTTGCCGCGCTTCTTGAGAGGCAAGTCCGGAGCTTGTTCCTTCAAAAGCTTGGCTGAAGCTTCGGAACAATGAATGCGACCACTCACAGACAGAGACTCCATTCTGGATGACGTGTTCACACTGTCGCCAAAGAGACCATACCGCGGATTCAACGATCCGATCACATTACTGACGACTGGACCACTGTGGAAACCGACGCGAATGTGGATATGGCCCGCAGACGCGTCGTCTTCGTCAATCAAAACCTTTCCAGCCGCTTTCACGGCATCGATTGCAAACTCGGCAACACGCTTGGCATGAGAATTGGCTTGGTTTCCTTCCACTGTGAAATCGAAAAAGAGATTTAAGAGGTAAGCGAGTGCATCCCAGAGAGAATGAATCAACAGGCAACACCAGAGCGACTTACAGTTTGTCACCCCCATCCAGGCATCTCCAATCGTCTCCACCTTGAATACTCCATGTTTCGTAGACAAATTATCGAAGGCAAGGTACAATCGATCCAACATTTTGCACACCTTGACTGGAGACAACGCACGAGAAATATCGGTGAAGCGAACAATATCACTGAAGAAGATGGTAACATTGTCGTGATTTTCACTGCAATTGATTAAAGAGACGAGGACCAGAAAAAGCGTCAGTATCTGCTTCTGGATTTGGTCGTGTCAAAGCGCAAATGGCAACACAATTTCAGCAACTTACGGTTCCACCTTCTCGCCGTGTCTTAGCTGGTCAGCAACCTTCTTTGGGAACACCTTGTACAGCATGTCGCCAGTCGCCACTTCAGTCCGCACGCGTGTATTGGTCTCCTCCAAGAGAGGGTCGGCGTCACGGGAAGTCATTTCGCCAAAGATCATATCCAAGTCTTTGGCTGGATGACGGTAAGAGGCATCACTGCTCCAGCACCGTGTCATGATCTCGGCCATGCGCTTAGGGCAAGTCCCAGGTACAGCTGGGCGGTAGTTGATGCGTGGGTCGCACACCTTGCGCAGGACCTTGCGGAGTGGCTCTCCCTCATATGGTGTCTTGCGGCTGTAAATCTCATAAAGAATCATTCCAACTGAGTAAATGTCGCAGGTAGCATTGTATTCTGATCGTCTACGCAAATATTCTGGTGCCAGCCTGTTTTCAATGATGAAAATCGATCAAACTTGTAAGCGCTTGCCATATCAACGCAATTTCATCAACCCGTCACATGAGCTTACCAGTAGAGAGTTCCAGACAGATCGTTCTTGCCCTTCACTGCCAATCCAAAGTCGCAAACCTTCGCACGGAACCTAGAATCGATAAGGATATTCTTTGCCTTCAGGTCACCGTGAAGAATCGCAGGCCTTGAAGAATGCAAGAAACGTAGACCCTGGGCAATGTCGCGAACAACTTGCAAGATGATTTCTCCACCCATGAAGAAAGACTCGTTACGCAGAAGGTCATACAAGGACCCATTTTCCATGTATTCCATTACCATCATCTGAAAGTATCACAAAGCAGTGGTCAGAAGTCGGCCCAAGGGAAGTGGGAGCGCAACGAATATACAGCAGAAACTTACGGGTTCGATTCCATTCATCACGGCTCCCATCACCGTTGTAATACAAGGATGCCGAAGCCTTGATAGAAGCCTCATTTCTTCCTTGAATTCCTCATGACGACGAGCAGTCTCGTTGCACGATGGGAACAGCCAAGTGGCAATTCCCTGCGACGTTGAGCCTTTAGCTGACACTGAACCAAGGATGCTCAAATTGAGCTTCGCTGAATAATCCTTGTAACCCCGTCCAAACAAGCGATTGAGTCGCCCTCTCTTCCTTCCATTGAAGCTGAATCCTCCCAAGAAGTCAAGATCACCGAAGCCTGAGGTTGTCCCACTAGCTGTGCCTCCAGCACCGCTTGTTGTACCAGGTGTTTCGCCGGTCTCAACGTCTTCGTGCTCGCCATCTTCGCTTACACTTCGGGCACCGACGCTACCTATGCTCGCAACAGAGCCACTTCTCGTGCTCTTGTCCTTTTTCGCTAAAACTCGCTTGATTGCAACTTTTGTGCCACGATACTCAGCCAGTAAGACGACACCAAATGCGCCTTGTCCGACGATTTCGACTGGGTGATTAAAGTGTAATTCTTCCACGTTCACGTGCCAAACTTCGTCGTTCTTTTTCTTCTTGTACGCAATGTAGAACAGCGCAACAATAAAGCCAATCAAAGCACAAATGCCAGAGACGATTCCTGCAAATACTCCTTCCGAAACACATTCCCCAAAGATGTCGATGGCGCTGGATGAACATTCACAAACACCATCTTCGCTCTGTGATGCAACGGGAAACATGAGTGTCCGAGCGATATCAATACTAAACATGGGCAATAGTCCACTCACCGCTACCATTCCCCGTATTGGGCATTTCATTTCAGAAACTTGGATTCGGAATGGTGATTCTGGGATTTGGACTCCATCAAAGAAGACTTCCAGAATAGCGACACCTCTTTTTCTATACGAAAAAATGAATTCGTACTCATTGAATCCACCAGCGTTATGTATCACTTCAAGATATCTCGATTCTTGGCCAAGGTGTACCAAGGCTGTCACTGTTACGTTCGTACGCTCCAAGTTATCGTAGGCGTGGAAGACAACATCTTCGTTTTGTTCCCCCTCTCCACAAAGACTCATCTGTGAAGACATATAATTAATCGGAATCTGTCGCTGAGGACGAATAGATACCACCTTCACTTACCTTGCCACATCTATCATGGTCTTTGGGTACAGCACCATCGACAGAAACGTCCCATGGAAAGACATCGACTCGTATGCTTCTATGCAAGGTCGGCAATAGCAGGTGGCGCCTTCAGGGCACTGCAAGCCTTTTTGATAACAGTGCGTGTCGAATTGGTCCTTGGCGATCTTGTAATGCCCTTCCGGGCACGTGATACCGTCATACGTCTTCGAGGCTCGTTCGCAGTGCCAACCGCCTGCAAACACGCGATGGGAACCATGAGTGTTTCAATAAGGTAAAGACCACCACAACGCATGCATCAAATACGTACTGTTTATGTCATCTCGGATGATAAAGCCTGCATCTTGCTGCATTGTTCTCACTTGGAAGTGAGACTTTGCCGGCCGCATACCAGAATGATGACCAGATGTCCCAGCCTGATATGCTAGTTCTGCCAGTTCTCGTGTCGTGTCACAGCGGGCAGCAGGATCAAAGTATACTGGGGGCATCGTGTTGCAGAGTTCCAATTCCTTAGCAGTTTCAGCATCTTCCATGCATTGATGCATCAGTGTCCCAACTCTCTTGTGTGCGCCAAATTCCATCATGGCAATTGCTACTTCTTCGGAGACGATACCATCTACTTCTTCCTTGGCAAACAAGGGCCACTCCGGAAAGACCGGCGTCGAATGAAGGAATGGGAACAGATCGCCATTGTTCATTATAGCAATCTTCGGCTCAATAACCTTGAATAGATTAGAGTCAATGTATTCACCGGTTGCCTCATCGACAGTGCGTTCAGCTCTTCCAGATGGAACGAAGCCAACGTCCCATTTCCCGCTGAGGACGCCCTGTACCGTTTCATCATGATTACCTGTGAAGATGACTTGCTTTGGATCCATGATGTAATCAAGTCCAGCCTTGTGCATGACATAGAACTGTGATTGTCCAGCAGCAAACACAGAGAAGGCCTGTCCTGCAATCACCTTGTCTTTCAGATCTTCGATAGTGTTGACTGCATTGTTGCTTGCTAAAGCCAAGATTGTACCGCCATATGAGTCTAGTTCGTATTCGTTCCCCCTTGATTCTAGACTCGCAATTGTCGTGGCAAGTGGCTGGGATCCAATCTCTGTACCGATACAGGAGTATAGACCTGTGTCAGAATACATAAAGTCCACATCTTCAGCATTATCAATCCAGTCCAGCAAAGGCCATTCTGATGGCTTCATCTTGAACTCGATGGGTGGATCGAAGCGCTTTCCGACGACTTCTGTCAAGTATGTCTCGAACGTCATGTTGAATTCGTTCCATGCTTTGTCAATGCCTGCTGGAGCGTGTACTCCGACTGTGTAGACTCGTTTTTGTGTATGTTTATTGAACTCGCGAAGTCCGTGGGTGCAGTTGATATCTCCAACAGCCCAGTGTTTGTTGGCTGTCCATCCTTCCATATCTAAATATTCGCTGTTGGATCTTGGGATAAAGCACAGTGCGGCAAGTGCCATGCACAGGGATGACAATACTTCTCTCATTGACTTGTACTACTAAAACGCAAAGAAACGAGGCAATGTCAGCATGATTGAGTCGCTGTGACGAGAAATCCGTTGTATAGTCCTACATACATTCTAGCGGATCCGCTTTCTGTTTTGTGGGGTTTTGCATTTCCAAAGTTTCAAACGTATTATCCGTATTTCGCCTGCGGGTGTGATGATGTCTTCGCAACAAGAACCAATTCTTCCGAGCCAGTACTGTACTATGGATAGTTCTCTAGAGAATGTTCTGCTGCTTGTAGACGCGTGTCGGCGTTAAGTAGTATTTTCAAAAAACTCTTGGACGTTTTATTAATATATATTGTATATTGTTTTCGATTCTTTTTCCCAAGTTGCAAGTTGCAGAGCGGAATACATAAAGGGTCACGTATACAGGTCACAGGTACATGTGTACACAGGAACTGTACTAGAGCGAAAGAAATGGCGTCAGTGGAAGACATTGTCGGCTTCCACAGAATACACCTCATATACTTCTATTTCTTGTGTTTCGTGCAATGTCCTGTAATTTTGAGCCTTGCTATCTAAGGGATGGGGATATTGTACGAAACACATGTCAATAGGCTCATGAGCGTTACGACTAAACGCTTTCAAGTTTCTTACGAGTCTTTTCTGGCTTTGTTGTAATTTGAGCCCAATGTGGAAACGGGGAAGTTCACTTGGTCGGATATTCTACCACGAGGAGGAAGCGAGATTCGTATCTTTTTTCGGCTTTGTCTACAACTTGATAAATCCCGTAGCTGTACTGATTCCTGCTCTCCAAACTTATAACTTCGTGGGCAACACGAGAAAGTTGCATAATGGAATGATCATTCCGCGCCAGTGAACGATCCAGAATTCTGTTGGCAACCGCCGCTGGAAAGACGATCAAATAGATTGTCATATCGTGTACAGTATATACCAAGCCTTGCGCAGAATCGTCGATCTAATAGTTGCAACAAACTATTCAAAGTTGATCATCTAAAATAGGACTGACTCGATGTGCATTTACTCGACGATCTTCTTGCTAATGAACGGTGTGAACGATTGCACCCGATGAGATTCAGCCATGTGATATGTGCATATTGTGATCCTACAGTAACCAGTCATTGATGTTTGGTCGCAACTGATAACGCAAGCAGAAAAACCCATACAACCTCATGATCGTTTTCATCACTTTGGACTGCTGTTGTCATGCGGGCATTATTGGCTCCGAACCTACATCAGTCGAAGTAATCGGAGAACCTTCATTTTTTGTAACGGAAACCATCAGCCTCCCCATTTTTAATTCTCTTCGAGGTATCGGTCAAGGTCCAGAAAGAAAGTTAATCATTTAGGATGTTCTCAAGATTGCTTTTTTCCAAAGTGTTGTATGTTATAATTATGTATCATTATATGCAAAATGAATCGACATGTTTTTGATCCATTTCATTCGTCCATCTACTGTGAAAGAGATCGTTGAAAGCTAATCACACGCTTGTCGGCTTCAGTAGGTTTGTCAACCGAATGCGGCTGAGATTGCTCTTTTTCATACCTGGGGGCACCAGCCATGGTCGTGCGACGAGAAGGATCGTCCACAGCAATGTGGTCGTGGCGTTGTGGTGTGATGGGATGGCGGAAAATGGGTGATGGGGATGTGAGAATTTGCGGCTTCTCTTGGAAGTTCACAACAGGACGTGGATCATCAAAAGAACCGATTCCATTCGCTTGTAGTGCCTTGGATGGATCCGAAGAGTTGCCAACCCAGTAGGTTACCATATTGCCCTTCCCCTTGACTGCAACCTTGCCGCGCCTCAAGAGAGGCATTGCAGGAGCTTGTTCCTTCAAAAAATTGGCTGCAGCATCGGAACATTGAATGCGACCACTCACAGACAGAGATTCCATCCTAGAGGCGGTATTCACAGTGTCTCCAAAGAGACCATACCTCGGATTCAATGATCCAATCACATTACTGACGACTGGACCACTATGGAGACCGACGCGAATGTGGACGTGGCCTGCAGAAGGGTCGTCTGCATCAATCAAAACCTTTCCAGCCGCTTCCACGGCGTCGATTGCAAACTCGGCAACACGCTTGGCGTGAGAACCTTCTTGGTTTCCTTCCACTGTGAAATCGAAAAAGATTTACGAGGTGAGGGAGCGCATCCCTGAATGGATTTACAGAAAAAATAGCAAGAGAGCGACTTACAGTTTGTCACACCCATCCAAGCGTCGCCAATCGTCTCCACTTTGAAAACTCCATGCTTCGTCGACAACTCATCAAAGGCAAGATACAGTCGGTCCAACATATTGCACACCTTGACAGGAGACAAGGCACGGGAAATATCGGTGAAGCGAACAATATCACTGAAGAAGATGGTGACATTGTCGTGATTTTCACTGCAATTGATTGAAGAGACGAGGAACAGAAAAAGCGTCAGCATGTGCCTATGGAATGGGAGCAGTTGAAGCACACATAGCAACAATTTCAGCAACTTACGGTTCCACCTTCTCGCCGTGTCGAAGCTTGTCAGCAACCTTCTTTGGGAACACCTTGTACAACATGTCGCCAGTTGCCACTTCGGTCCTCACTCGTGTATTGCTCTCCTCCAAGAGAGGGTCGGCGTCACGGGAAGTCATTTCGCCAAAGATCATATCCAAGTCCTTGGCTTGATGTCGATAGGATGCATCGCTGCTCCAGCACCGGGTCATGACTTCGGTCATGCGCTTGGGGCAGGTCCCTGGGAGAGCTGGACGGTAGTTGATGCGTGGGTCGCACACCTTCCGCAGGACCTTACGAAGTTGCTCTCCCTCATATGGTGTCTTGCGGCTGTAAATCTCATATAGAATCATTCCAACTGAGTAAATGTCGCAGGTAGCATTATATTCTGATCGTCTTCGCAAATATTCTGGTGCCAGCCTGTTTTCAATCAAATAAATGGATGGAAGTTGTTAGCGCTCGTGGTGTTTATGGCTTCATAAACTTATCACGTAGGCTTACCAGTAGAGAGTTCCAGACAGATCGTTCTTGCCCTTCACTGCCAATCCAAAGTCGCAAACCTTCGCACGGAACCTAGAATCGATAAGGATATTCTTTGCCTTCAAGTCACCGTGAAGAATCGCAGGCTTCGAAGAATGCAAGAAAAGTAGACCCTGGGCAATGTCGCGAACAACTTGCAAGATGATTTCTCCACCCATGAAGAAAGACTCGTTGCGCAGAAGGTCATACAAGGACCCATTTTCCATGTATTCCATTACCATCATCTGAAAGTATCACAAAGCAGTGGTCAGAAGTCGGCCCAAGGGAAGTGGGAGCGCAACGAATATACAGCAGAAACTTACGGGTTCGATTCCATTCATCACGGCTCCCATCACCGTTGTAATACAAGGATGCCGAAGCCTTGATAGAAGCCTCATTTCTTCCTTGAATTCCTCATGACGACGAGCAGTCTCGTTGCACGATGGGAACAGCCAAGTGGCAATTCCCTGCGACGTTGAGCCTTTAGCTGACACTGAACCAAGGATGCTCAAATTGAGCTTCGCTGAATAATCCTTGTAACCCCGTCCAAACAAGCGATTGAGTCGCCCTCTCTTCCTTCCATTGAAGCTGAATCCTCCCAAGAAGTCAAGATCACCGAAGCCTGAGGTTGTCCCACTAGCTGTGCCTCCAGCACCGCTTGTTGTACCAGGTGTTTCGCCGGTCTCAACGTCTTCGTGCTCGCCATCTTCGCTTACACTTCGGGCACCGACGCTACCTATGCTCGCAACAGAGCCACTTCTCGTGCTCTTGTCCTTTTTCGCTAAAACTCGCTTGATTGCAACTTTTGTGCCACGATACTCAGCCAGTAAGACGACACCAAATGCGCCTTGTCCGACGATTTCGACTGGGTGATTAAAGTGTAATTCTTCCACGTTCACGTGCCAAACTTCGTCGTTCTTTTTCTTCTTGTACGCAATGTAGAACAGCGCAACAACAAAGCCAATCATAACACAAATGCCAGAGACAACTCCAGCAAATACTCCTTCCGAAACACATTCCCCAAAGATGTCGATGGCGCTGGATGAACATTCACAAACACCATCTTCGCTCTGTGATGCAAAGGGACACGTGAGTTTCCGAATGATGTCGATGATGGAACATGCACAAGGGCGTACTCACCGCTACCATTCCCCGTATTGCACATTTCTTTTCTGTCACTTGAATTCGGAATGGTGATTCTGGGATTTGGACTCCATCAAAGAAGACTTCCAGAATAGCGACACCCCTCTTTCTATGCAAAAACAGGAATTCGTACTGATTGAATCCACCAGCATTATGTATCACTTCAAGATACCTTGATTCCTGACCAAGGTGCACCAAGGCCGTCACTGTTGCATTCGAGCGCTGCAAGTTATCGTATGCATGGATACGAATTTCTTCGTTCTGTTCCGCTTCGGCACACAGACTCATTTTGTCACCTGCGAAAACATAAACGGGAAACGTCAATAGCAGCAAATGCTAAGAGCATGACGACGAGTCAACTTACACCTATCGCGATCTTCGGTTACAACACCATCGATCTCAGTGTCCCAAGGAAACACATCGACCTCGTAAGCCTCGACACAAGGTCGGCAGTAGCATGTGGCACCTTCAGGACATGGTAAGCCTTTGTTGTCACAGTGTGTGTCGAATTGGTGCTCCGCAATCTTGTAGTGGCCTTCTGGGCACGTGATACCGTCATACGTTTTCGAAGCTCGTTCGCAGCGCCATTCGCCTAGATGAGAACGCCGAGAATCATGAGCATCCCAAAATGCGATAACGATCACACCACAAGCATCAAATACGTACTGTTTATGTCATCTCGGATGATAAAGCCTGCATCTTGCTGCATTGTTCTCACTTGGAAGTGAGACTTTGCCGGCCGCATACCAGAATGATGACCAGATGTCCCAGCCTGATATGCTAGTTCTGCCAGTTCTCGTGTCGTGTCACAGCGGGCAGCAGGATCAAAGTATACTGGGGGCATCGTGTTGCAGAGTTCCAATTCCTCAGCAGTTTCAGCATCTTCCATGCATTGATGCATCAGTGTCCCAACTCTCTTGTGTGCGCCAAATTCCATCATGGCAATTGCTACTTCTTCGGAGACGATACCATCTACTTCTTCCTTGGCAAACAAGGGCCACTCCGGAAAGACCGGCGTCGAATGAAGGAATGGGAACAGATCGCCATTGTTCATTATAGCAATCTTCGGCTCAATAACCTTGAATAGATTAGAGTCAATGTATTCACCGGTTGCCTCATCGACAGTGCGTTCAGCTCTTCCAGATGGAACGAAGCCAACGTCCCATTTCCCGCTGAGGACGCCCTGTACCGTTTCATCATGATTACCTGTGAAGATGACTTGCTTTGGATCCATGATGTAATCAAGTCCAGCCTTGTGCATGACATAGAACTGTGATTGTCCAGCAGCAAACACAGAGAAGGCCTGTCCTGCAATCACCTTGTCTTTCAGATCTTCGATAGTGTTGACTGCATTGTTGCTTGCTAAAGCCAAGATTGTGCCCTGATGGTATGAAGGAATCAAAATTAGAATTAGAGCGAATTGAGTCGGGAAAAAACGTCAGAATGGATTGTTTTCCTTCCGTTTGTCGTCCTCTACGCCGCAAATTCTACATCAAAGAATTACTCACACCATACATATCAAGCTCGTAGTGATTGCCCCTTGACTCCAGACTTGAAATGGTTGTTGCAAGTGGCTGGGATCCAATCTCTGTACCGATGCAGGAGTATAGACCTGTGTCAGAATACATAAAGTCCACATCTTCAGCATTATCAATCCAGTCCAGCAAAGGCCACTCCGATGGCTTCATCTGAAATTCGATGGGAGGATCAAAGCGCTTTCCGACGACTTCTGTCAAGTATGTCTCGAAAGTCATGTTGAACTCGTTCCATGCTTTGTCAATGCCCGCTGGAGCGTGTACCCCGACTGTGTAGACTTGTTTTTGTGTATGTCTATTGAACTCGCGAAGCCCGTGGGTGCAGTTGATGTCTCCAACAGCCCAGTGTTTGTCGGCTGTCCATCCGTCCATATCCAAATATTCGCTGTTCGCGCTTTGAAGAGAGCCCAGTGCTGCGAGTGTTATGCACAGGGATTGTAATAATTCTTTCATTTGCTGTGCACCGAAACGTAACGAAACGAGGCAATGTTAGCATCAATCGGTGCAATGAAACCTTCGATTTGCAGACCGACTTACACTTTTGTTGTTTCGTTTGTTTGTATCTGTTTGTCTTTTTGTGGTTGATGATTTTTGCCATACGGACATCGACATGCGAGAAATTGCGAACTCCTCCATTTCGTGTCGAATACCGTGGAACAAAGCTCTCTGGAAGCGGATGACAATGGAACTCCTGATTAAAACGGCGAAGAACAGCTCCTTGGATGCGGATGATATTTGAAAATAACAGCGAAAACCTTCAATGTCTGATTGTTTGTTCGGTGCGACTTCAGTTCGCGGGATCCAGAACACGTCATGCCCGATAGAGAACTTTCGCGTGGGAAACAGATAAACAAAAAGTGACCAACGAATGACAGGATAGTGACATGGCGACGAGAAAGAATTGCAGACCAGAACCCGCGGGACGAGTGCTGCACCAATCTTGAGAGCAATTGAGAGCGCTATTTCTGCTTTCACGAGGCTCTGATCTGCTCTTATCCGAAACAATGTTCGGTTCCTGCCAAGATCGACCTTGCTAATCTATTCCGCTCCCTGCATGCATCTCCTCTGGCTGCTCCGTGAAAACAAAGTTTACCCAACCGGTGAAGTCTGAACGATTTGTGAAACCATGTGCATCCCACATCCGCCATCCAAACATTAGCTTTTAACAAACTCCTTTCAAACTCTGGACTGAAAGCAATTGCTATCGACGACATGATGAGCTCGTCATCTTCCAAATCAATTAATACCCGCAGCCAACGCAAGCACCCGCCACGACATGAGGTAATTGGAATCGAAACCATCATTACAATCTTGGCAGAGACAAAGCTTCCATGAAAGTCAAGATTTCCATTTGGCGGTTTCTTTCCAACTTCACTCACCCCCCACCCCCCCCCCCCCCCCCCCCCCCGCCTTCAACAGAAGATCATTTCTACCATCCCGCTTTTCGTTGCCAATAATTTGCATTCACGGATGAATTTCTGAACGCCAACGCCAGATCGATGTTGAAATCCCTCCCTCCGCAGTTCTTGGATCATAATCAGCACCTTGGCTGTAGGCGCTTCGAGTATCACCAGCGCTTGCTTGGCATCTTTAATTGCCGATTGCCAGCGCTGCAAGCAAAGATTGACTGCTGTGCGGTAGCTGACACATGCCGTTTGGTGCGAGTAGCCTTTGCTCGCAAGCTCAAGATCGCCGGCCTTGAATGATTCGTTTCCCTGTTGTCGGATTTCCCATGGATTGTTCTTTGGTAGTCAGATAGTAGATGTGACCTTCCAAATGAAAGTTATCATAATTCGCATATCACTGATAATACAGTGTGAAATATCGCATCACAGCACAATCAGTCTCGAAGGGCACCCTTCTCCAAGTAAACAAAGTAAAAGGAGCCACTACAAGTCTCGTGGATCATTTCGAGTAGCATTACTAAATAACCGGAGCGTCCTTCGTCATTCTTTGGTTGAATAGGTCAACTGTTCTCATTCCAAACGGCGTCTCATTCGTCTTAGTGCAGTTGCTGAAGGATGATTTTTTTTGTATTCATCCGTTGGAATTGTAGCATTTCGTGATATATACTGCTGCAGCGAGGACATCACCGCCTTTTCTAGATGAAACAATATAAGTCATTGATGGTGCTGATGTTAATTGGCAGGACCCACGAGCTTCAAGGTTTCATGCGATGATGCAAATAATGTCATCACTGGACACAGATGATAATGCGAATGTAGTTTAGGGTCACCCAAACCGTCTGGCCTTCCCTGGTTCGGGTGACTCCTAAAAGACCTTGATGATGATGATGATGATGATGGTGCGAGGTGCAATCAATGCGATAGTATAGGACCCCGATCCACGAAAAACCCCCCCTTCCCATACCCACTTTCGGGCTTTTCTAAAAAAATATCACCATAGAATTTAAAAATGGTCATTTTTAGAATACGTGGTATTTTAACGCCAATAAGACAGTGCAAAGGGCAATTTTTCGGGGATTTTAGCCCTATGCTCGAAAGTACTTTGCGACAATTTTTGATTGCGGGATGATGAATCAACTGATTCGCATCACCACTCACGATGGGACAATGATTGAGGGCGAAATGGAAGCCAAAGAAGGTAACTACGCCGGCTACATCACAGACACCATCTACAACACGTGTTCCAGAAGAGCAATGGGGTTTGATTTGCAATCATGCAAGGTCAGAGAAGTGGTGTGATAGCTATCGACGAGAAAATGAAACAAATTCGAAAATAAGGAAGAGGCTGGAAACGACACGACCGAATGAAGGATTCCTCTTCCCTTTCCTTCCCTTTTTTTGTCCCCAAGGTCTAAGGTCTGTTGATTGTTATGTTGGAGAGCTACTATGGTTTCCATGTTGCTGTGGCAGTTGCTGATGGCAATTGATGAAGATGTTGCTTGATGAGAATGGCGAAGACTGCCACTGTGGAGAGAATGGAATGAATTAAAGAAGACGAAGAGTCGTAGGTAATGTAGTATAGGCTTGGATGTAGGTAATATGTTAGCTTTGTTACGTATTCCCTCAGTACTGTAGTGGTAATGTTGACAAAGGTGATGTCTTGGATGCCATTTTGGTTCCATCGGTACGGAAAATTTCCACGAGGCACTTGGTGGAATTTGCGCGCGAACCCGGTTTTTTCCGTACGTCATCAGTTTCAGAACCCATTGCGCACTTCTATGCGCTCGCCCGTTGAGAATTCTTCAACCACATCAAATTTTCCTTCCGTCGGCAATGGTGAGCCTCGAGGCCGAGGAAAGCATCACCCTCTGGAGGAAAACTCGTGGGTCGCGGACATTCTCTGTATCGTACCCGAATCCACCTTGTTTGTATGAAGTGATATGGATGCATTTGCCATTCTCACCTCTGAAATCACTGCTAAAGAACCTCAACAAGGTACGAAAACTACTTTTCGAGAGGTTTCGGGACGTCTACGAAGTCCCAAGGCAACATAGAGCTAGAATGTTCTGCGGAAGTTGCTTATGTTGTTATACTAACGGCAATGATACCATTCTATATTCTCTATCTGGGTTCCTACAGGACAATTTTCAACCCAGACCATTGAGTTGCAAATTCGTCAGACACAATGAAATTGCACGGCCTGGACCCCATGAGTAGAGAAAGTGGAATCAGAGGTTGTGGCAACCATAGTTGATATATATGTTACGTCGGGAGCGGCAGTAATTATGTTGAACATCTTTTTCTGGGCCGCAATCACACAATAATCCACCATGATTGGTTCCGTTGGTTGCTTGGACTGGACGGATAGGTGTCAAGAAGACGTATTTGCCGAGTGCGACTCATATCTACCGTCACCATCAAGACAATATCTACACAGAGACTCGTTCGGAGTGTCGAACTACCAAAATTGACGATTTGGAGCACATCAAGGTGCCATGGTGCGATGGTTCCCCTCGTTTGGACTGGCCAGTGTGGACGCCCAGAGAAGTAAAAAGTGAAGCACATGTTGTGGCAAGCGTATTTGATAGATAGACTATGGCTGGAGCGGCCATTCATACTTCTATTTGCCTCAGTTACACTACAATCTACCTTGTTTCGTTCGACTGGTTCTGTTGGGCTACCGAAACTGGTCGGCAGAAAGTCAAGAGGGCCAGTGCCTCCCATTCAACATGTGCTGGAAAGCTCGGCAGTGATCCTACCTACTCGGGGATCCATTCGGTTGTGTTTTGTTATGAATACTTGTTGAGATATTGGAATTCCAGTGTTTGGTGCTGTCTGTTCCCCTTTCAGCATGAAGGTCGGCGTGGCCGCCCTGGAGACAGCCAACCATTCAACAATACACCAGAGCCTCCCTTGGATGCCTATTGTTTAAATTTTCTGGGACCCAGGCAATGGTTCCGCCTAGATTAAGAATCATGCCGCCCAAACGGGGTTAGAAATCATGGAAATCTGGTCCAAAAAGCCACTTGGTGGTGGTGTGGGCCGAATTTCCTAAAAATGCCTTGTTCTAACACATATTTGTCGTCCATGGGTATGTATGAGAAGATTGGTGGCTTTGGAGTGGACATTTTCTAGGTAAAAGTGTTTGAATAGCATTCACACTGCTTTGGGGATCATTCCAGGTTCATGAAAGAATGTGGCTGGAATCCTTCTCAGTAGCCGAGTCGATACCCTGACACGATGGCACCAAGTTCAAAGTTGGTCAAAATATATATAGTAATCGAATTTGAGCGGTGGTTTGGAGGGCTATGGCGGAAAAAAGAATCTAGGATAGCATAATTTTTTTCTCTCTTTCCTTCTTTTCAATTGACTTTGTGGAATGGCCTGAAATTAAGATCGATATACAGAAATATCTCTAATTCAAAGTGGACCTAGTCCTAGCAAATATATATACTTATAATATCGCATTGAAATTTATCTAAGAATGTAATCGCAACAAGGTCGTATGGTACGAGATCAGCCTCTGGCCTCTTGAGTTTTTTTTGGCAATCACATTAGTCAATATCAAGTCAATTGAGTCAATTTTGACTAACGGCTGGTTTTTTAGCCGTTTCCCGAAAGTTGTTTTCTGCAGTGGAGCCCCTCTAACACCTCCTATGAACTTGGGATTTTTTACAAGGGATGGGCAAAGTATTCTCTAGCGCTTTGAAAAGGTTGTAGGTCCGTAGGTGTCTTTTGAAATTTTTGCTTTGTCCCCAGAATTCCAAATTTCACCCGAATTTTGGGGGGGTATTTCGTGGATCGGGGTCATAGTATGACTGACTTGTTTTTTTATTTAGTCGGTGTAATCAATTAAAATAGCATTCTCGCGCATGTGTTTTAAGGCCAGGCAGACATACCTGAGACTGGTTGGCTCGCTGACTGAAGCCGACAACACTATAGCGATTTGTACGTGCGCGTTATGCGTACGTTGAGCGATAGTTTGCTTGGATGTTTTCACATCAACACAATTAATTTTAAGGCATCAAGGTTTTACGATTACCCTTTGAGGTCAATGCACATGCCTTTAAACAGTTTATCAGCTCCCATCACTCTACGATTCTGTTATGATGCTACTACACCTACGACTAATGCTCTTTATAACGCATTTTCCTTTGAAGTCAATGCCTGAAACGACAAGACGCTTTGATTTTCTGAAATGAGCCAAAATGAGCCGAAGACGGTTGAATT